AGAGAGAGAGAGAGAGAGAGAGAGAGAGAGAGAGAGAGAGAGAGAGAGAGAGAGAGAGAGAGAGAGAGAGAGAGAGAGAGAGAGAGAGAGAGAGAGAGAGAGAGAGAGAGAGAGAGAGAGAGAGAGAGAGAGAGAGAGAGAGAGAGAGAGAGAGAGAGAGAGAGAGAGAGATCCCTTTATTGGCAGACTCTGGGTCCATAAGAAGTAACACACAGTGATGATGACGTGACAATCATATGATGATGACGGTATGAAGATGACATGGGTACATGACCAACATCAGCAGCGATCAACAACCACACAATGCTGCAGTCCACACATTACGCATAGGAGATGTGTGGGCGATATCACTGTAATACAGTGTAGACATTATTCGGTTTTCTGACTTTTTCAAACGCGACATGAAATTCCACACAGCTCTGCGGTAGGCCGCATCAAAGCCATCTATGTGTTCTTGCGCAAACATTCCAGAGGCACTACAATATTTAGGGTAGCCTAAAAACATTCTAGCAGCGTTATTGAAACACACTTTAAATTTCCGAAGAACCGATGCATGAAACGAGTGCCATAAATGCATGTAGCTGATGTTAGAACAATATGCATTGTACAAATACTTTTTAACCGAATATGTACATAAAGCGAATTTACGACTCAATGAATTGGCGCGACAACACAGTGATCGGTACTGATGACAAATCTCGACATTGTCCACTTTGGTTCGTGTGCTCGAAATGTGGTATCCAAGATACTTATATTGGTCGACATATGAAAGCACACTATTGCACAATGATATCTTAGGGAGTGATAGATTTCGAAGACTCACGGGAAGCATGGCCATGCAGACTGTCTTTTTGGTATTGAATAGAATGTCATGATCTTTCGCATACTCGGAGCAAATGTTCAGCAATTTTTGAAGCCCAAAAGGCGTAGGCGAAAGAATGACCATATCATCTGCATAATAGAGATGGTTGGGACTACCTAGATAATGGCACCCCACGCCACTTTGGTCGAGAAGAGTCGATAAACCATCCGTATATGCATTAAACAAATAAGGTGAGAGAATGCCGCCTTGCCTAACGCCATTTGACACGGAAAAACCATCAGATAATGCCTTACCCCATCGAACATGAAAACGCTGCGACCTATACCACGAACTGAGTAATTTCACTAAATTTGAATCCATCCCCTTATCAAGTAATTTGTCAAACAATGTCCAGTGATTTACACGATCGAACGCCTTTCGTGCGTCCAGGAAACATATGAATACAGGGCTATCATTTCGTAGGAAATAATCAGAGATCTCTTTAAGCGCATATATAGCCATGTCTGTAGTGTTTTTCTTTAAAACCAAATTGATGGCATCCTGTGCTAAGATATGAGGAACATCTGCTCAAAAAGACCCTTTCTAAAACTTTCGAGCTCGCGCTTGCAACTGCTATTGGGCGGTAGTTATCTTTTGCGGACAAGCTCGAAGTCTTGTCCTTCACAATTGGCGTAAGAACAACATTTGTAAGCTTATCTGGCAAATGCATATGCTTGGCTATCATAGTAAAGCATAATGACAAATGTGTCGCGACTGCATTGCCGCCAAATTTAAAATGTTCTGCATAAAGAAAATCATTCCCACTTGAACGACCTGATGACAGTTCTCCGATAGAGTCAATCACTTCCCTGACAGTAAAAGGCTGAAAGGTATCGCCAGCTGTCGAAAGTTTGTCCTCCACAACTTCTCTCTTATCAGTGTTATTCACACTATTTAAAATTTCCGAGAAATGATCTCTCCACATACTGGCAATGTTCTCTTCCCCAGAGATACCGTCAATTGATGGAGCAAGAGGTGGGCTGCTGTTCAGCTTGTTCACCTCTTTCCAGAACCCTGAAATATTATGTGGGTTCGCAACAAGCTTATCAGCCAGAGCTTTTGCCCTTAGCTCCTTCTCGTTCCTCAAACAGTGGCGCAGAGCATACTTAAATCGCGATCTGGCTAAGCGTAGCTGACAATGAATGTAACCTTCCCTAGGTTTTCCCACTAGTGCCCACAGTGCATACAAATCGCAAAGAATAATATGCGCGTCCTTAACAAAATCATTCCAGCCCGGAATGTTACGCCTAAATTTACCTCCTAGCTTTTTGGAAATGGTCGTTTTAGAGGCGTTCAGCATGGAATTGAGAATACTTTCATAATACTCATCAATTAAAACACTATGTGTCACGTCAGAACAGGCGCCGCAGTGCAATAGCTCATAAGGAGTCTCAATTTGAGCCAAATTATTAGTGACAGCAGCGGTATAGTCCTTGAGCTCATTAGGACTCAGCGACATCCAATCAACAACCCATCTATCAGCTGCTGCTGTCTCAGGTTCAACGATATGAATATTACAGTCATGGGTTCTAATGTGAGTGAATACCGGGAAGTGATCAGAGCTAAGAACGGAATGGTTTATGCCAATGTATTCAATAATTTCGAAAAAGGCTTTCGTACAAATGATATGGTCAAGCCAGGCCTCAGTACCATGGCCATCATTAACATGAGTCTTTGAGTCAGAAGAGAGATATAATGCATCCGCTATAATAAGATTGGACTCAACGCAAAACGACTCTAGCTCCTTGCCAAACTCGGACGCTTTCACTATGTCAGCGTTAAAATCTCCTAATACACACACATATGGTGAATCTGATTCATCAACAATTGCCTTAATCTTGCCTAGATAATACACATAACTTTCAAAATTAGGCGGTGTACAGTAAGGCAAATATACACCAAGGAGAAGAAGCTTAGTTTCACCTTGGTAAACTTCTAAGCCCAGGATACGATCATCATCATACGTCACAGGTTTCACAAGATGGGTTAGCGCTTTACGCCACAACACGGCCACGCCACCATAAGGTCTGCCTGAAAAGAGCTTAGTGAATGGATCCATTGACGATAGTCCAAATGAAATAAAGTCGGGATGAATATTATTTAACGACGGAAGATCCGACGGGAATAGCCAGTGTTCTTGTAAAAACACAATATCTGAATCGTTACACAACATATTGATACCACCAACGTTACGTTTAGACGACTGACAATTGTAAGTGCTAATTTTAATCATGAACAAAACAATTAAATACTTATAGGCTCTAGCTACATACAAAGAAGACATCATGCTATCGTAGATCAGTATTTTTGTGAACCTAGATCCCTTCTCTGGAAGAACCGTCGTACAATGAGCCCTTGTGCCCACAGCTGCGGGTCCAGCAGGTTTATCTCAGCAGGGGGATTGACAATATCGAGGCGATAGGACTCATAACTGTCAAATCGGGTCTGCAGCTTTTCAACGGTCACCGTCTCTGCACCGGACTGCTCGCGGACATAGGCGCTGACGGCCGCCTCACCGGTACCTGGCGGGAGACGAGACATGAAGAGGGAGACTCGCTTGACGGCCACCACGGCCTTGATGGATCCAGTCGTCTTAGTCCCAATAACTGCAGAGGACTTGGCTGTCTTCGGAGGCTTCACGCTGTTCAGTGCAGCGGCACCTGGTGGGGCAGCAGTGGGCTCGACAGCAGCAGGCTTGCGAGCTGGTGGCGTGCCCTTTTTCGCACGGTTGGCGATGGTCCACTCCCCTGCAGATGCTTTAGCAGGTGCATCCTGAACCACATTGGCATACGTCATCGGCTGCGATGGCCCAGCGGTTGTCTCGCAGGCGTTATCATGTATGCTACTGGCAGTTGTGGACTTTTGGGCTACAGCCTCTTCGACCCTTTTCGATGTATCGGCGGTTACTTTCAATATATCTTGAATCATATTTTTCATAGAAGTCATTTCGACGTCCATCAGTTGTTGTTTCCTCATCAGCGCGCTCACATCGATGCAGTCGACAGTTATAGGCGGAAGTTTTGCCAGGTCCAGTGCGACAAACTTCGGTAACTCATCCCTGTTACATTCAATCAGCATCTTAAAGCTTCAGGGAATGGAGATGTTGACGTACACTGTAAAAAATCAACTTTTCAAGTAAAAACGCCCAACACCACTTCATTGCGACTTCATTGCAGTGCAAAATCTTATAGTGCTAGCGCCTGATACGCAACGGCTTGTTGTACAATGAATTAATAAATGTTAACGATGTTCAGTGCCTTCAATCCAAGAAATTTGCTTTTGAAACCTGTTTTCAACTATGGCAAAACCACACTTTTAGCGTGGGGTGATTTGAACATAGTGTGAGAATTTCAATGAAAACAGGGATAGCTCCGAAAGAACAACGCTCCTAGTTTTTTTTTGCCAGTATCTTCGACCCAAAGCAGTAGCAGATAAGTGATAACAGAAAGGTATAAAAAACAGAAAGGTGTATAACAGAAAGGTATAAAAAACAACAAGCTTCATTTGTTGTAGCTATTGTGAGCATTGAAACTTTTTTCGGAGTATGGTCACTTGACACCCAGGCAGCCGGACATTTCGTAACCTGAATTTAAAATTTTCACTAAATGTGAAGAAAATGTGAATTGAAAATGCATGCCGCTGTTTTTTATTCATTTGCTGAAGACCTGGGCAGTGGGCAGTTGGTCTGGAAGTTGAACTTTCCAGCCATAAATCGTCATTGCGAACGGCGCACAGTGATTGCAAGACGGCCGGATCCGAGTGCTGTCTCCGAGTCTCGGCTCCGGAGAGGTCACGGCGGTAATCAGCCCGCTATTAGCGCACCTCGCCGCACGGCTGACTCAACTTTGAACTGCGGCCGACGTAAGGTTAATAATGGTCAGCTCATCTCTCCCGGGACGAGCCGTGGCTTGGGAGACGCACTCCGGCGAGACGTAGGCTCACTGTCACGGATCCTTCGAACGACATTAGTACACCAGGTACGGCCATGGATGAAGTATGGGCCCACTGTGCCCTCAGGCCATTAAACTGCTGTTTTATGCCATTCACTCAGGCTGTTTCAAGCCGTGCCCTCAGCTGTTCCATGTGCCCTCATCTGTTTCATGCCGTGCTCTCAGGCTGTCTTATGTCGTGCCCTCAGGCTGTTTGAGGAGAATCCGTCCATGAAGAATGTGTTCGAGGGGTTCCGGCAGATCGAGATGGAGGACATCCGCGCCTCGCAAGAACTCCGACAGCACGCCGCCAGGTAGGGTAGGGGGGGGCTCCTACCCTACCCTGAGCTGAACGCCGAGGTGTGAGGGAGGGGGCCCCTACCCTGAGAATGAGATAACACGCCGAGGTGTGAGGGAGGGAGCCCCTGCCCTGAGCTGAGATAACACGCCGCCGGGGGAGGGATGAAGGGAGCCGGGACAGGCTCGCCTGAAGCACACCACAGCTCCGAAACACGCCACCAGTCTCGTGAACAACTTTCGCTCCGGAAATTAAATTCGTCACACGTTAATCTTATCAGCGAACAAAAATTAGCATTTCCCTGGGAAGCGGCTTTCTTTGCCGCTGGTCGGCGGGAAAATGGCGGGGCGGACGCGCTGTCTGGAGAGCTGCAGACGGACTGTCTGGAGAGCCGCGGACGCACTGTCCTGAGGGCAGGGGCGGATCCAGGAAAACTCCAAGGGGAGGGTCATGAATCGAAGTGGTGCCCCTACCTATACCCAAAATTAAAAACTCAACGGATTTCGTCCACTTCATTTTGGTGGTGCCCCCATTTTCAGTTTTTTTTTTTCTTTTTAATTTTTATTTTTAGTCAGTATCTTAACTTTTGCCACAACCACATTTACCAATTGTAAGCAAGTATATATGAATGTGCTATGTGTATATATGTTGTGGACGCTGAGTAGTGAGTACTTACCAGGAACGTTATCAGGTAAGCGAATCGTTGTCAGTCCGACGAACTTGACCCTGGCGTCTAAAGGGTCTGTCCTTGACACTTCAGGCTTGTCAGGGGCACCAAAGTCCTTCCAGGGACACCACAAACCTGTCAGGGGCACCTACGGCCTTGTAGGGGCGCCACAGGCCCGCCAGGAAGCAGGGGCACCACAGGTCTAGCAAGTATACACGACAGGCCTGTCAGGGGCACAACGGGCCTGTTGGGCCCATGAGCACCCCTAGGGGCAGGGGCACCACAGTCCTTCCAGGGGCACCGCAGGCCTGTGAGGGGCACCAGCGGCCTAGCAGAGGCACCAGTCAACACAGGCCTGCCAGGGGCACCACAGACCTGCCAGGGGCACCAGAGGCCTGCCAGGAGCACCACCGACCTTGCAGGGGTAACTTGGGCCTGTCAGGGGCACCACGGGCCTGTCGAGAGGCACTTCAGGCTTTTCAGGGGCACCATAGTCCTCGGCCGGGCGCAGGGGTAGCAGGGGCACCAGAGGCCTGCCAGGGGCACTACAGGCCTAGTAAGGGCACCACTGGTCTATCAGGGACACCACGAGCCTGTCATAGCCAGGCATCTCAGGCTTGTCAAGGACCAGGGGCACCACAGGTCTGTGAGGGGCACCAGCGACCTAGCAGGGGCACCAGTCAACACAGGTCTGCCAGGGGCGCCACAGACCTGCCAGGGGCACCACAGACCTGCCAGGGGCACCAGAGGTCTGCCAGGGGCACCACCGGCCTCGCAGGGGCACCTTGGGCCTGTCAGGGGCACCACGGGCCTGCCGAGGGGCACTTCAGACTTTTCAGGGGCACCAGTCCTCTTAGGGCGCAGGGGTACCAGCGGCCTAGCAAGGGCACCAGAGGCCTGCCAGGGGCACCACAGGCCTAACAAGGGCACCACGGGCCTGTCAGGGGCACCTCAGGGTTGTCAGGGCCCAGGGACACCACAGTCCTTCCAAGGGCACCGCAAGCCTGTCAGGGGCACCAGAGGCCTGCCAGGGGCACCACAGGCCTGCCAGGGGCACCACAGGCCTAGCAAGGCACCACTGGCCTGTCATGGCCGGGCACCTCAGGCTTGTCAGGGCCCAGGGGCACCACAGTCCTTCCAGGGGCATTACAAGCCTGTCAGGGGCACCAGAGGCCTAGCAAGGGCACCACAGGCCTACCATGGACACCACAGGCCTGCCAGGGGCACCACCGGCCTTGCAGGGGCGCCTCAGGCCTGTCAGGGGCACCACGTGCCTGCCGGGGACACTTCAGGCTTGTCAGGGGCGTTACAGTCCTGTCAGGGCCCAGGGGCACCAGGCCCGTGGTGTCCCTGCTAGGCCTGTGGTGCCCCTGGTGGTCCTGTGGTGCCCCTGTCAGGACTGTGATACCCCTGATAGGCCGGTGGTGCCCCTGGCAGGTCTTTGGGCCCCCGGGCCTCAAGGGGGGGGCCATGACCCATGTGACCCCCCCCTTGGATCCGCCCCTGCCTGAGGGCGGTAGGGAGTCTTAGCTGATCGAAAAGGCACGTTTAGTAGAAGTGTTATCCTCGGAGGTGATTTCACCTTATACCTTCCGCGCAGAGCAGACCGCAAAACTGAAATGCCGTGCGATGCTCAGAGATTGATCATAGATACATGAGGTGCCTGCATCGCGATAATGCCTCTGAGATCACTTGATATGTGATATCCGTTAACCCGACAGGGGTGCACGTCAGAATAGCTAGTGACATTTGAGCTAGAGACTTTTGAGCTAGTACAAAACAGCTAGTGCCTCAAAACAGCTAGTGACAAAACAGCTAGCGTCAAAATAGCTAGTGAAGCAAAGAAGCTAGTGCTTAAAACCAGCTAGTGACAAAACAGCTAGCGTCAAAGAAGCTAGTGAAGCAAAAGAGCTAGTGCCTCAAAACAGCTAGTGACGAAATAGCTATCGTCAAAATAGTCATTTCGTTGGACCTCTGTTCCCTTTTCATTCACTTCGCTTCGAAAATGCAAGATATCTACTCGTATGACTGGTAAATATGTATTTCCCGCGATATGCCATCTCAAACATTCAAAGTGAATGAAACCTACTCTCCGAATGAATTCATTTTTGCTAATAATAGCCGTTTTCACGACGGCCATCTGGTACACATTTGGTGCACATCTGGTGCAGATTAGGTTCAGATTTGGTCAAATTAGGTTCAGTTTATCTCTTAGTAGCTATCAGCTAGGGTTACACGTGCTTATATGCCTTCTTTGTCATATTAGCAGAGAGTGTCCTCGATTAAAACACTGAAGTAAATTCATAAAATGAAGATATTTGCTGTAAAAGAGATTATGTGCAGATTTGGTCAAATCAGGTGCATTCGCCGGATAGCCCGTCGTGAAAACGGCTATTGCCTTCCCTGTAGCGTCTCAGTACAGTCGGTGACACACCAGGGAAATAAGCTAAAATTAGAGCGCTCTATTTATTGCGTCCGCTACTTCACCGTCTCCCATAGGGTCCTGTGTTGAGCTGGAATCGAGGCTCTAAAAATGACGCCGATTTTTGCACCCTTCTCACAAAAACCGCTCGGACCGCCTGAAAACTAATTGTTCCGCTCTAAAAATTTCAAAATCGACGGGAAAATGAACGAGGAAAAGATTGGTCCTGAAATAATTCTGAGCTCCCTGTAGAACATATCGAAATATGGCTGCAAACTAGGAGCATGTCAAAATCGACAAAACAATACAAATAAACGTACCGGGATTTTTTTATTTTCCATGCATCTGTGTATGAAATCAGTCGCTTTTTCGGAAAGATCATCTTCTATTTAATAAATACGCCCGGTTATATATGACAAGATATAACCGGTTTTTCCGCGACACTACGAGCGTCTTCTCTGGGCCGGCCTCTGCGAGCAGCGTTCGGCGGCAGGCGGGCGGCCGCCTGCGCCCCCGGGCGGCGAGGCCGCTAAGGCGGCGGCCTCGTCTGATTGGTGGAGCGACTCGTGTCACGTGACCGTGACGGCGCGGGGTTTGAGTGCATTTGCGCGGTCACTGTTCTAAGCCGCCTGGTCTGACGCAAGTCAGCAGTGTTCTCGCTCTGAAATGTTTTTGCGTTTACTGCGGTTGTGTTCAGTGGAAACTGGAAGACATCAAGGGGAGTATAAGTTCGGTTTTATATCAATGTTATATTGATTGACGAGGATGTTTTTCCTTTCGGGGTTTTTATGTTTATTTTTTTTTACTGGTTTGTTGTTTCTGTCTGATTTTTTTTTCGGCATGAGTTTTGGTTATTTTTGTGCTTATGCTATGCTATCACGGTAAGAAGAGGGTCGATGAGCAATGGGTCGGCAAATGCCCGGTATATTATAGGTTCTTTGAAGGTTATATGAAACAACGAAACTTGGACTGCTGGTAGAAATAGGCTTTGTGTGTTTTTTTTTCAGATTTTGGGAGATTGGGTGTAGGTATTTGCTAGGTGAAACATAGCTGTAACTGTTTTTTTGTTTCTTCCCTGGAACGGAGCGCCGGACTTTGCCATTCTACACTCCGTGCGAGTGAAATCAGCTCATACTTTCTCGGTGTAGCAGCTCAGAGTGCACGGCCTGGCCGGCGTAGGGTTTGGTGGCCACGTGGTGTTAGCCGGTGGTTGTGCAGAGAGTTGGTAAAATTGCCGTTTTGTGGTGCCTGGTGTTGGTTGAACTGTGGTTCCCATACAGGTGAACGGTTACTGGCGTAAGGTGTGCCAGGTGGGCGTACCCCGTGAAGAATGAGCTGCTAGTGATGTTGGCTCTGTCCGAGCGTGTCCGAGCGGGGTTTTCATTAGTGGGTTAGGGATTGTTGATAACAAGGGTACAGGGACCCGCAGTTGCTTCTGTACACACTAGTATTTCAGCGTATTCTTTGCCTGTGACACCATTGGAGGCGAATTGGGAAATGATTGTGTGCTTATTAAAACCACCATCTGAAGGGCTTTAAACTGATGTGCTGCTCTCCTAATTCAGTGAACTTTTTATGGCTATATCAGCAAAACATTGTTTTCAGCGCTTTTTCCTGCCCCATTCCTTCTGAAACCTGGAACCGCTTATTCCATTCACTCCTGCCATCTGACGATGGTCGTGCTGACTACTAGTTCCGGCGCTAGTTACTGCTCCAGTTTTGCACCCGACACAAACTCAGGCGGCACCGGGCCGTGGCTCGACCATGGGGAGGGTCGGACCGAGCCGACTGCCTGGGGCGCGGTTAGATCGGACGCCCTGCTGGGGAAGGGGACGGGAGTGAGGGGGAGTGGAGGAGGTGGTCACGTGGTCCGTCCAAGCTCGCAGACGACCTGACGTGTCCTGCGCCCAGCCATGTTCCGTGATCC